TGGTTGTGGTAGTGGTGACGATGATGGTGGTGGTGATGGTAACAATGGTGACGATGGAGATGGTGGTTCTAGATGACGATTTAATTGGATGATGATAATGATGATTAAATAATACGTCTTAAAGTGGACTAGCGATGATTCGCAAGATAGACACTAGCTTTTCAAATATGATAATGAGCTGAAACTTAAAGTAGAGTGATGTAAGGAGCAGTCCTGGCAAAGTACTGATGGCGCAACGCAATTGCTAAAATATATCTATGAATCCTTCCTTGTCGACAAAAATGAATCAAGTTGTGATGAACGTACCTGTTACGTTACCACATCCACCTGTGGGTACCACAATCTCCAACTCCTTTTCACACGACTCTTCTATCTGTAAGATAAACAGGGAAAGAGAGTGGGGTTGGAAGATTACATCGTTCCGACATTCGAAAGCACTAATCTTGGAATCGTGGAGCTTGTACAGTATTATTTGACAAGGAATACGCCGAAACAATCGACAAGAAAATTGGTGTGACGCCTTTTGCTTGATTGTGGTACTCGTGGGTTCTCGGTATGCGCGTGGAAGTCTGGAGACCTTGAATAGGCTCCTGTCCAGTCTTAAATGGGTTAGCTGAGAACCAGCTTATAGAAAGAATCTTTGTGAACCTAGGTTGTTATCTTTGTAAACCAACTTCTGTCTTTTGTTGCTAATGTAATGAACATACCTGAAGGTAAATATAGAAGTAATGAACAATTTGTAACATAATTCGTCCCCAGTTGACTGAATTTAACGACGAGATATTGTGTTGTTTCACAAACTTTTCATCGGCATAGATATGACTAAATAGATCATCCATATCATCTGAGCTACCATCAGCTGAAAACAATAAAGTCTTTCTTTAAACAGAATTGAGTGGGGTTGAGGGTATGGGGCACAGGTTTCACAAAGCAGGAATTGTGGCTAAGCCTTTTCAAAACTATTTCGAAACGGCTAACACTGTGTCCATTCGTGGAGAACAAAGTAAATTTACACACTGACGCTCCTTAACGTTTTTTTTTTTTTTAAAAAAAAACTAGATCCTTAAAGATCCTTCGACAGTTTTTTCATCAACTCATAACAAATTCGGGAAAACTGCCTTCGGAATTTCTAAACAGGATTCAAGATTTCAATACTGAAATGACAAGTACTTGAAACAAGCATCTTAGAATTAGGGTGGAACGAAGACATGTCAGATTGGACGGAAAATCATCTGAGTTGACGGGTTGTGATTACATGTTAAAGATCCTTCGACAGCAGCTGAAATGTAATAGCTTTACCTCTAAAAACATGGACATTATCACTAACAGCAGTCGTCATTTGTAACTCTTGGAGTTTAGAAATTCTATTTTTAGGAAGGAACACGATAATATCTGACCATTTCATACCCTGCACTGCCGAGATAGCAGCACTTCCGGTATCACCCGATGTAGCTGAAACAATAATCAATTTGATGTCAACACATGCTGAATCTCAAATTCCTTATAAACATCATTAGCTATTTGGATGTCGTATAAGCGAACTCAAGTACCTATTACAAAATCGGGAGCTTTTGTATGCCGTTCTAACGAACTCAAGTACCAAATATCCACGATGAATCTTTTTTCAGAAAAAGAACAAAGTATCATCCCAGCACAATAGTAGACCTTCTTCATTCATTAGACTGTTCATGTTTGTTCTTGCAATACTTCCAGTAACATGTTTGTTTCTGGAGTTGGAGGAATTGGAATCCTAGTATCTATGGACAGATGATTACAGTAATGTGAATATCATCAACACTTACCTATCAACAATGTCCGATGTTTTTTAGCCCGAGATAAGAAATGTTCCAGTAACTGTCCCATGACGGACATCGCGTAATCTTTAAACGACCAGGTCCGACCATGAAATAGCTCTGCTATTATAAGATTGTTTGACAGTCTCCGTATTGGGATCTTCTCTGGTGCAGAGATGGAACTGTAGGCTCTGTCTAGAATACCTAAAAATAACAATTCACTACCTAGTAATTTAGAATTTAAAATCACAAAGCGACATCTTCTAAGACTTTTTCACAATGTCAAGCTATTACAAACTGCGTCTTATATTTTGACTGTAAGTCACCTTTCTTGAATGATGGAAGTATGTCAATGCAGCGATTTGGTTGTATTGTACCTCAGAGAATACAGCCAATCAGAGTCCTCGACAGAAGGTCTGTAAACTATAGGCCATAATGTTAAATGTCTGTCAAAGTATAAGGCGAATTTCGTAATAGGATGCTTTTAATGGTGCAATTGATTTCCCTTACGGATCATCAAGACAACGTTAAACATGACAAAAATTTTGATGTCTTTGATCATTCTTAACAATAACATTATCATTAGAACGAGCTGCAGATGTGCTCAGCACAATGGCAGTTTTCTGTGGTCAGGATGATCCAAAGGTCTTAATAAATACCATATGAGTTTTCTGTTATGATATACCTTCCAAGTCTTCTTGAGAAAGCTCATCTCCAGCAAATAAGGGAACAATTTTGCAAGCTAACGATCGGTAGTCGGGTTGTTGGGCCCATAGTTTGAGTTGAGATCTGTCTATGACTGGTAGGGTTTCAGGTAACAGTAGCCCACCATCACTGGCGAATCCTGTATATATAGCTTCTTCTAGGCTGACACCCTTTATACCTCCCCTGGTACTCCGATACTTCATTGCTACAAGTGTAACATGATACTTTAAGATGACTGTTTACTTCCCTCACATATCATCGTTTCAACACCACACCCACATTTGTTAGACAATGTCAAAACAGAGAATGTGAGAACAGAGGTGGGTGGGGGGAGGATGGGGCAACTACCCACACTTCATTTAAAAATATGATTTTTATGCATTAGACCCACGCATTTGAGGGGAGGTACCCTCTCAGACACTCCAATCTGCCCCCTGTTTGTACCCCAGTCTGGAGAGGCTCGCGCCGCCTCTGATCGTGTCATGACCGAATACGTCTATAAATCGAATGGTTAATACAATAGCAATCCTGTCGCCTGGAGTGAATTGGTGCTGGGTCTCGATTGTTGTATGGCCCCCAATTTATTCCCATTTCGTCACTTCCCATTGTGTCCCTTCCAGATTCTTCCTTTTTTTTATTTTGTCCCTTTCCCATATTATCCCTTTTCATTTCGCCCCTGTCCGGTTATGCTCCTTCCCATTTTATCCCTTATTCCCACTTTGCCCCTTTCCCATTTTTTAGTGCATTTACAACTGTTTAAGACAGTATAATATTATGTTGAAGACAGAATTGTAATTAAATTGATAATTGATATCAGAAAAATTTGAAAAGGATGTACACAGCCGTCACACATTCAATGATAATAACTATCACCTAGGTGAAAATTAAAGTTTTCAATTCAAAATAAAAAGTGAAATATGTCGTATGTGAGCCACCGTATTATCCAGATACAATGGTTCAGAGTAAAATATCTTAATAATGCTTTCTTCAGTAAGTCTCTATAACTCTGTGTTGTGAAACAGGCTTTGTATAATTATGCTTACTTCAGTAATACGCCGTGTCAAACAGGCTTACCTCACATGCTTACTTCAGAATTATACCGTGTCAATCAGGCTCACCTCACTTACCTTATATGTTTACTTCAGTAATACACCGTGTCAAACAGACTTACCTTATATGTTTACTTCAGTACTACACCGTGTCAAACAGACTTACCTTGTATGTTTACTTCAGTAATACACCGTGTCAAACAGACTTACCTTGTATGTTTACTTCAGTAATGCACTGTGTAAAACAGACTTACCTTATATGCTTACTTCAGTAATACAATGTGTAAAACAGACTTACCTTGTATGCTTACTTCAGAATTATACCGTGTCAAACAGACTGACCTTGTATGTTTACTTCAGTAATACAATGTGTAAAACAGACTTACCTTGTATGCTTACTTCAGTAATACACCGTGTCAAACAGGCTTACCTTATATGTTTACTCAGTAATACACCGTGTCAAACAGACTTACCTTGTATGCTTACTTCAGTAATACACCGTGTCAAACAAACCTACCTTATATGTGTACTTCAGTAATACACTGTGTCAAACAGACTTACCTTAAATGCTTACTTCAGTTATACACCGTGTCAAACAAACCTACCTTATATGTTTACTTCAGTAATACACTGTGTCAAACAGACTTACCTCATATGCTTACTTCAGTAATACACCGTGTCAAACAAACTTACCTTATATGTTTACTTCAGTAATACACCGTGTCAAACAAACCTACCTTATATGTGTACTTCAGTAATACACTGTGTCAAACAGACTTACCTTATATGCTTACTTCAGTAATACACCGTGTCAAACAAACCTACCTTATATGCTTACTTCAGTAATACATCGTGTCAAACAAACCTACCTTATATTTTTACTTCAGAATTATACCGTGTCAAACAGGCTTACCTTATATGTTTACTTCAGTAATACACCGTGTCAAACAAACCTACCTTATATGTTTACTTC